ACCACGTGGGCCCGGGGGTGATTTTGACTTTTTGAGTAAAACTTTGGGAAAACGCATTTTCATGCATTGGGGTTGATTCATTTAGAACTTATTGATGTAATTAAGTAACTTGTGATTAGATTCGAGTGGATTGGTGGTAGAATCAAGGGGTAACGCTATAATTGAGGCTTGAGTGGTGTTCAAAGCTTCGAGGTAAGTGTTTGGTCTAACCTTAGCTTGAGGGATTAGGAGTTGAGTCTTATTTTCTACGTGTTAATTGTCGAGTACGACGTATAGGCATGATGACGAGTATCTATACGTTGGTGTCTAGTATGACCGTGAGTCCTTATATTGCGGATATTCTGATTTTGTTGTATCTTCAATGCCTTAATGATGATTTTCTATATATTGTAACAAGCATGTGAAAGAAATTTTGATCCCTGCACTTCGAGGAGTGTTGGCTCGAGTTATAATACGAATTGTGAAAGTATACGAGATGATTGAACCGCTATGGAGTGTTGGCTTAGGTGGTAAAGTGAGATAAGAAGTGCAAGTGAAAGAAAGAGGAAGAATTATTAAATTTCTCCCTTGCCGGGATGTTTGTTGTTTTGTTGATTAGCTCCCTTGCCAGGAAGCTGAGAATATTGATATTGTTCCCTTGTCGGGATTTAACTGCTTAATTGTGTTCCCTTGCCGAGATTTAGCTGTTTAATTGTATTCCCTTGCCGGGATTTCTACCATTATTTGTCTACTCCCTTACCCCTTTGTTTGTGATTGTTGTTTGGGTGAGGAAGAGTGTAAAGCACGAAGGGTGATGCCGTGCATTGTTTGCTATTGTGAGGAAAGAGTGTAAAGCACGAAGGGTGATGCCATTCCGCACGATATACCATTCCGTGCCGATTTTATTGATTATATGGTGAGGAAAGAGAGTAAAAGTACGAAGGGTGATGCTGTACATATTTTTATTATATGATTGTTTTGGTGAGGACGAGAGTAAAAGCACGAAGGGTGATGCCGTGCCTTTGTTGATTCCTGATTCCTTGTTGATATCCGAGTTATGTTGTTTCTTTCATTACTTGTTGTTATTTGATTTACTTCGAGGTTATAGATTCCCTTACCCAATTTGCCTTGTGATTGTTGTTTGGGTGAGGAAGAGTGTAAAGCACGATGGGTGATGTCTTGCATTGTTTTGGTGAGAATGAGAGTAAAAGCACGAAGGGTGATGCCGTGCAAATTGTTGACTTTTGATTCTTGTTGATATTCTGGCTTTGTTGCTTCTTTCTGTTATTGAGGATTTCTATTTGAAACGGTTACCTCCCCACAACATGTTTCCCCCTCCCACATTAACTGGTTATTTTTGTATCTCTTTTCCGCTGTATATATATATATATATATATATATGTATATGAACCGCATAGGTCTATTTGGAGTCTGGTCCTAGCCTTGTCACTACTTCGCCGAGGNCCAGTCTGTTATCTCCTGTATTTCGAGACAAACAACTTTTTTTTTTCAAACGGTTGTATTTAGTACTCTTAGAAGTTCGCGAGTAATGTGACACCAGTTCCTGGGTAAAGGCATATGTTGATTCTCGCATTATGTATTCTTTAATTTAAGTCTTCCGCATAATCATTTAAATTCTGTTGCTTTCATGTCATCACTGATAATTGTTAAAAGAAGAAATTGTTAATGAAGTAAGCAGTTAAGGATTGACTTGCCTAGCTCGCATTAGTAGGCGCCATCACCACTCCCGAGGGTGGAAAATCCGGGTCGTGACAAAAACAAGAAGTAAATTAAGATCTATAGTTTTTTTTTCCTTTTTCTTTTAAATTTATTTTCATTTTTGTCTATTAAAAAATAAGAATGGTAAATTGGTAATATTTAGAAAGGAATATAGGCTACAGAACAGAAAACAAACCATAGAAATTGCTCATTTAATTCTAATCTCATTAAATTCAACACATAGAAGTTCTTTTTTGTTTTTAATGTTAGCTTTGGATTCAATTTATTTTAATTAACTTAGTTAAGAACATTATGTAGGATCCATATTATTTCGAGATTAAATCTCTAAATTTGAAATACTTGAGTCGTATTTGTTGCAAAATTATATTATAAAAATGTCTAAATTAATTTCCTCCTTTTATTGGTTTTCCATTTTTGCTTGTTTCATTAATGTTGTTGTGTCACAAGACCTAAATCAGCACAAGACTCAACCCAATAAATCATTTCTTCTTCACTTTTTTTAAGATCTTAAACACAACAACCAAGTCTCATGCAGAGACTAATAAGACTTGAACAAATATATTGCAATATTTACTATGAGTGCATGATTACTGAGGTAGAAAATCAAAGACTACATAAGTAATGAACCAACAAGGTGGAGTAAAATTAAAATCGCGACAACCATCCTCAATATATGACTTATCTTAAACAATTATCATTTCAAAAATACATGAGGAATAATTCTACACAATGCGATATTAGTAGGGTATCAAGAATAGAGAGAACAAATGCATTGGTAGTTTCCTTTCCTCATTTCTTAAAATTTAATGATCACCGAACTCAAAAACATAAAAGAAAGTTCTATTAATACTTTAATCATTCATTTTTCGAACTTTAACACCGTTTGAGAATTAACATTCGTGACTCGATGCATGAGCAATTTAATGACAGAAAAAATACAGAGTAAGAGAAGAATACCTGTCAAAGACGAATTAACAAATTTTCTTAAATTTGTTAATGAGTCATATTAGTCGGGTGTGTCCTTTAAGATATGAAAGTCCAGATTGGAATTACTGACAGCACTTTAAGTGAATGGAACTTTTCTCAACGAATACATCTCACCTCTCAGCCAAAGCAACATATCCAATTTGAAACGGTGGGTTTAGGTCTTTCGAATGTTAAGCCTAGCGTTTTTTATTTTTAATTCATAAGTAGATAGTTAGGTTGTTAAGAAGGGTATTTTAATAATTCAACTTTTAAGTTAAGGGCTTCATGCTTGTATAATAGAGAGAGAGATTACCACTCTTACAAGTGAAGATTATCCAAAATGTTCTCCGCTTTACTCAGGCTATCCATGACCATATCATAATTGAATGCAACTTGTTGGCTTGTTGATGAGTATCAACAGAGATGATAAAACACAACACTCTAAATAAAAATATAGACCAATCAACTCATCATTAAAAGATAACACATTATAGCTCAATTATTACAAGTGGTTTCTTGTAAACTGCCATAATTTTGAGACGTATATAATATAAATAAAACCCTCCATCAAGTTGAAATGACAGCCAGCAAGTAAACTTATTACATTTTAATATTTGATAAGCAGAATGATTAGCATCGTGGATAAGATAAAAACTAATCTTTCAGTAGTAAATATTTCAAAAAGTAACCATTACAAAACTGCAACGTTTCTCTGTAAGATAATGCTCTCCATTTACTAAGACAGAATTCCAGCTAGCACTGCCATGTCTTGAGCTTTCAACTTTATCATTTTGGGACATCAATCCTCAAATCGAGCCCAATGTCCATTCCGTTGTATGCAATGGGAGAATACATCCATAGATCATCAGAGCTCAAAAGCTGCATGCAGATTCCCAAACAAAAAGCAAGACATTAAGATCCATCACTTGATTCCAAAGGGAGAAGTAATTAGTCTTAGTACCTTTAGTTGATTAGCTAGCTACGCCATCATATAATGAGTTTACTTTTGTGCATTGACAATGCATAATTTTTAAAAACCTATCAGGTCAAGGTGACCTATAACAAGCAACTGTTTCTAGCAAATCTAATTTGGTAAAATATAAATGTAAAGTAAATGACCTTCTATATACTTGCTAAAATATACTGATAGTCTAATGATCGTAAGATAGTCCCCTTATATAAGTTAAATAATCCCACCAATATTTTATAGGTTAGTTTCTACCACCACCTCACTAAGTTATCTCTTTATTACCACTCTTGTCCACATAAAATGATAAGATTTTCAAGCTATACTTGTCGTTCTCTCTTTCTTTTGCTATCCCTATGTGCCATGCTCACGCAATAGTTTAAGCCTAATGCATTTTAACACTTACCCCACTGGGTCGTTGTTGCATTTTAACACTTTAGTGAAGGGAAACTGAATCTTACCTTGATTTGGAGTTGCAAAAATTTGACATACAGGACAGCCTCTTCAAGCATGGTGCTAATATCAACCTGTCATCAAATATTTCACTTTTTAGGTTCACATTCTCTCAGCAGATAACATGGTCACTAATATATGCAGTTTCACCTACATTCACTTACCTTCGTTCCATTAGGGATGAGCGTCTGCAAGGTCCTCAATCTCTCATTAATTCTCTCTCTTCTTTTCTGTAAAGGAAAAGAAAAGATCCTTTAGACACATATATACTAGCAGATCTGGAGATCAAGAATATGCTACTCTGCTAACAATACTCCTTTCATTTAATTTTAAGAGAGAGTGACTGCACACGGAGTCTCAGGAAAAAGAAAGACTTTATAACACACCCAAAGTACCCTTAGAAGTTAGAACATATGGGCTTAAACATGTCACAACATTCTTATGGCTATAAGAGCATGTCATTTAAGCTACTAAAATAAAAAGAATGTTCAAAATGTTTCAAATATATAAAGGTGTGCTTTTTAAGAAGTTCAAATGGAAGGAGTATCACATAAATTGGAAGTGAGGAAGTAATAGGAAGATAGATACCCTTGCATACAAGCTCTGGGGGTCAGTTGCTGAACCCCTGCTGGCTCTGGTTTTCCGGGTTAACACGTGCGAAACATTAGATTCATCTTCTGAGCAGCAACTGATCGTTGAGTTCTGCCTCTGAAGCACAACCTTATTTTTCCCATCCATCTCACCACTCTTTAGATCCTTCTCCAGCTTTCCGCTTCTCTTGTTCTTCGGGACCTATGTCATGGAATCATGAGACAGGAACTACAAGATGAAGCACCATATTTACCATTCTAAAAGAGGTTGACAACTATGTTCTATTAAATCAGATAGAACGGTTTCAAAGTTCATGAATGATACTTACATGCTCAAGCCCATGCAGCCGTGATCTTTTCTTAGAGCTTTCTGATGAACCCATTTTGTCTTCCGAAAATTGTTCATAATCTGTTCTTCCTAGCTGCAAGCCTTTTCCATCAAGAGCAGCTTCAGGCATGTTTTCATCAAACTCCATGCTGTCATTGCTCACATCTTGGTTAAGGAAGTCATCCACTTCACTTGGATTATTAGTATCCACCAGACCATGTTCCATTGTTATTGAACTATCATTTCTCATCAAGATAGGCCGGGAATGACTTGGATAGTAATTTTCATGACTCGGAGGGAAAAAAAGAAAGCTACTATCATCAGTGTGCATACTATTGTTAGTGTCATTTGAAGAATACACAGAAACTTCTCTTGCTCCTCCCATGTTCATGGTTGATTCATGACCAGTCCAATAAGTGGATGGTAGTTCATTTGGAAGCGAACAGTTACCAAGTAACTGTGCCATAAAATCAGCCTCGTCAGTTAAACACATTCCGCTGAAGGAGCTCCATTCCCCTGACATTGACGCCACAGGCTCCATACTGTTAGTACAACTAGAGCCTGAAGGAAATGGAGGAGTTTTGCAATATGAAGGAGTTGTGCTATTTAACTATATAATAGAGAATCTCAATTTCTTGGAAAAAATGGGAGATAGAGGCACATATTTATACCAGAACAAATACAAGGGAATGTCAGGATGGATTGACTTTGGTTGGTATATCAATATACAAATCCTAGGACTCAGCAACCAAGAGTATTTAATAAACAGAATATGCCCCGACCTTTTTAAATAGTACTAGTAATATTTTTTTTGTGAAAAATGGGCCAAGTACAACTAAGACAGACTTGGTTCAACTTCAACCAGTTAAGGACAAAATGATGCAAACCTTGAGAGGGTGTATAAAAACATTAGATCTAATTAATTAGGTAAACCCTGGCTGACAATGACTAGAGTGTATATACCAATCATTGAGAAAAGGATTAAGTATTATCAGTACTATCAACTGTTCAAACTTATAATTAGGAAAAGGTGGAAGTGATATGGGAAAGGAGATTGAGCATCTTACCTGGAGAACGTGGGGGTCTTTTTCAATACATTAAAATAAAACAAATTAAAAATAGCATATACCTGGGAAATATATCAATCATGGTCGTGAGTTTGACAATCTAAAAAGAGAAATCATAGTTTAATAGCTATGGTAATTTCTAGTCCTAATTTCTATGTATGCAGTTATCCTTTACTCCAACCTTCACCTTAACCCTAATTTTCAAATGCAAAATCACAACGGGTAAATTGGATGAACATGAGAGAATACATGGGTAAAATGAGTTTTATCGCATGTTTCATACGTGACAATTATCAGCTTCAGCATGAATACAAGAATTAGCAATTTGGAGCTCCATTATTAAAAGGAAAAAAAATTAGTTGAAGGACAAATTTGAACATTTTCATCCTGCTAAGATTTGTATCATATTAGTTGATATTCCGGCTAACACAGAAACACCGCTTAATCACTAGTTCTACTCTACGACCAATTAATTTGAAGACATAATAAGCTTACTAGTTATATGTGAACTCCATTAGAACTAAGGATTTACATAATATAATCTACCCAAACTAGTTATATATTGAGGAATGGTTGATTGATGGATTGAAAAGGAGAGTACATTATAAGTTGCTAAGCTTGTATATGGTGAAATCGGAGAGCCCGATTTCTCGACATTGAGGCACCTCAGAAGACCATTTCAAAGTCTCGAGGCTACAAGGTTATGATCGAGTCTCCTCCCTCGAAGTTCGTCGAGACCTGACCTCGGGACAACATTGGCCTCGGCCACGGTAGAAACGGGGAGTTTCCCAGGGGCACGTGGCTAGGACTGACAGGACTACCCTAGCCCTTAATCAGGATGTCTTCTAGTTGTCCTATCTCCACTTCTTTGTCATTAATGTATTTTGTACTATGTTGGATTCTCCTCCTATATAAAGGGGATCTTTGCCACTTTGTAATCACTGTTGCTTCAATTACTCCACACGCAATATACAAGAACATTCTATTTGCTCTCTAACATATTCTCTTGATATTATTGCTTTCATTTATTATCTTCATATTTGTTCATCATTTATTACTTATCATTGGCCATAAAGAGCCTCCATTAATTTTATTATAACTATTAGTCGCATAGCAACTGCCTTCGATAGCTCGTAGTCGAGCTCCAGGATCAACCTCGAGGCCCCGAATCGACAAGCTCGAGGCCCCGATAATTGGCCTAACGGTTTGATTTTCGCACTACCCTTAACTCTTATTTCGTTTCTAAGTCTCACATACATAACATCAACTGCTTAACAAACTAGCATAAAAATAGATCACGTATTTTTAGAGTCCCATCAACAAATTTAATTGTTATTACCATTTTCACGGTAAATAAAGCTACAAACAAACACGACTGTGAAGCAAAATATGGTTGAACCGCAGTAAGTAATAGAATTTTCTTTCCATCTCTATAATATTTTGAATCACACTTATCTTCTAAAAGTTAATAGAAGTTGAGTTATCAAGATTTATCAATATAATGAATTGCTCTGATGGTAAGCAATCTCCACTTCCAACTAAGAGGTTGTGAGTTTGAGTCTCCCTAAAAGCAAGGTGGGAAATTCTTGGAGGGAAGGATGTCGGGGGTCTATTTGGAAACAACCTCTCTACTCCAGGGTAGGGGTAAGGTCTGCCTATTCAGTCTTTACAACTTTAGAATCACATTTTTTTTTTCTTCTTTACACCCATTGTCCAGTTTCCGCATCAAGAATTGAGATTAATCGAATTTGCAGCGCATAAGTCTCATTAAACAGGAGCGCACTCCCTACCAAAAATAATTTTATTCCCAGGGCTTCGAATTAACTTGAAGTCTTTGGTTAAGGATGAAGAGATCCTAACTATCTCATCAGAATTTTGGTGGCGAATCATACTTAAATATCTCTCGAAATTATAACTCTATCATGTTTATCAATACATTAAAGTGGTAAGTTTTAAACCAAAACTTCGTTAGCTATGTATAGAACAAAGTATATAATAAATTCCATGATCGTGACATTGCGGTATTTCACCTTATACAATTGTTGAAAATTTCATGATTGATTCCCAAGATTTGACATATCTCAATTGATTTTGATTCATCATGAGCTTCCAATCCTTGGTAGAAAAAAACCGCTGATAAACTTACATGAACTTAACATCCACCTACATTTGCCACAACTTTTCAATCCGATCATACATTTGTGATCTAGAGTTCAACAGGAACTTATTCTTTCCAATCAAACGGTGGAAAACTCATCAACACAATCATTTTGAAGAATAAGCAACAGGATATCACTTTGTGTGTGTTATATTTGACTTGACAAAGTTTATTCATGTTCGTCCCACGAACAGTCTATAAGAATTAGGGGACGATCAAGAATATGCGCTCGGATATTCCGACATTATTCTTTCTCTAAATAGAAAATTTATATCCTTTCTTAAACAACGTAATAAAATATTAGAAAAATGAGTGTGTTTGTTGCACAAACAATAATTAAGTCCTTGGATTATAAAATTAAAAGTCTGACATAATTCATTTATGTTAAGCTGAAAACCAGAATACCTCCCNCCAGAAGATGCTAATTTTGTCTAAATCTGCGAATTAACGAAAGTACACCAACTAAGACTTTTAGTGAGGGGAAATTCTATTCTAGATTTGTGACCTCTGCTCTAATAGTTGAGCTATGTGTTTCTGCTGACTTAGACAAAGCACCTTCCACGCGAAAATAAAGCTATTCAACGAAATATATTCTGAACTAGTAATTAGTACTACTATATTTGCAGGATTTAGACATTTCATTATTGTTTATAAAATGACGTTTTTTCTGTCGATTAACCTATTTTTTATCCGTATTAAATATGGATCAAATCGTATATTATTTATCCGTTTTTATGTTATCCCCGCAAGTTTGCCACCCCTAAGTACAACTCTAATAACATGCCCTCACATTATGGCCCCTCGTAATCAGGAAAGAATCGAACATAGAATTAAGAATATGCCCTTTTTGTTTTAACCTCCATTTTCTGTTTTGATCCCAGAAGAACATTTGCAGCCAGGGGCGGAGCTACGGTAGAGGGTGCGGGTTCGGGCGAACCCAGTGACTTTTTCCGAGACCCTGTATTTGTATTGAAAAATTTACTCTATATATATAAATATATCCTACCGAACCTAGTAACAAAATGTGTCTGGGTCCAATGGTAAGAGTTTTGGGTTCGCTCGGAGAGCACGCGGGTTCGAATCCTGCTGAAAGCAATTAACTATTTTCTTGTTTTTTACATCGTGGCTATTTTTTCTAATCTTCTCAACTTCCAAATCAAAAAAGTTGGGTTCTACCAAGAGATTAAAAAACCCTAGATGAAAAGAGGCGTACCAACTCCTTCCTCTCCAGCAACAAAAACACTATTTTCCACCGTTAAAGAGTCTTCTTACTCAATTGAAAACCAATAGCTTTTCTCCATGAAAGTTGTTCTCAAACTCCAGTTCCAAAACACTCCAAACTTCAGCTACAAAACTCCATTAAACTCCCACAAAAATCAGCAAAAATCAGCTCCCAAAACCCCCTTTTACACCAATAGTGGGAGAGGAGTGGTTGTGAGGAAAGCTGGGTTGAACTTAGGAGGGAGGAAAGCGGAAGCAGAGAAGATGTTTGGGTTAATGGATGAGTTCTTGAAGAATGATGCAGTTAGTTTACAAAAAGATATTCTTGATCATGTTGAATTTACTGTTGCTCGATCAAGATTCAATTTTGATGATTTTGAAGCTTACCAGGTACTCCCATTTCCCGATTTATTTGACATTTGTTCAAAGGTGTAAAAATTGCACAGCATACTCATTTTTGGCATTTGGGTCTCGTTTAACTGCATCATCCCTTATTCTTTATTTGCTTATTTGTTGGAATAGAGTCATGTTTCACTTACTGCTAGAATTATACCTTTATTAAGAAGAAAATCTTCATATGTCTACAGTAGAGCTACATTGGAAGAAAATTCAATGACTTTTTCGAGACCCTATATTTGTAATTTAGAACCCATACAATTATAATCCTAGCTCCGCCTCTGTTTGCAGTTCAATGTTGAAGTTCTGTAATTGCATATTGTCCGAATGAAAACTACATATTGCATACTTTCTTATTCTTTGACAACATAGCTAAATGATTTTTACAATATTTCCTCATCTTATGCATCCTCGTTGCCAGCATGTAAGTCGCGATATATTGATCTACTTTGTGGATGTAGGGTATAAAATTGGTTTGAGATAATCGGAACACTGAACACACTACATCATCCGTCTTCTCCCGTTTAATTACACAATGTCATAGGCATTTTAGAAGAATAATATCATCTATGTATGTAACTTGATAATCTCATTTTTTTTAAAGAGAGTTTAAATTCTATGCACTGACTTTGTAAAAGATAATTTTATCCACGATGTTTAATACTCCTAACACATGTTTAACGATGTCACATTATTATC